GTGAAGAAGTGTTGTTTCGTCATAGTTACGTTCTGTTGTCTCTGGTCTCCGCGTTGTACGTTTCCCTCATCCTCTGTAACATCTGACAGTTACTGTTGAAGGGGTCGAGCCCTGAGGAATTGACGCCCGCATCTTAGATAACAAGGCGGAAAATTTCCAAATTTCTTCCCCGCGGTGAGGAATGTTTGTCAGGGCTGTGAACTCGCCTACAGCTTGCCCGTTTGCCACGAAATAAGGAAAGACAAATTTTGAAATCAGCATTACTACAAAGCGAAATGATGGCAAATGATGCTTTTAAGTTTGATCTGTAGGTTAACGTGCATTCCGGTTAATTACGGAGGTTAATGCAGACAAAGAAGTGTTTTGTGAGACCTGGTGTTCTCACGCCAGGGAGTATGAAGATGTTGTCATTTGAAACTTCGTGTAAATCCCGGGTTTTCATTCAGTATCGGGGCCGACAGCAGTTATATAGCACGGAAAAGCCGAACGCAATATATTTTGGTACATATGTACGGTGGACGCACGTGGCCCCACCTTCCTCAACCTCATTCTTCGAGGTTGTTCATTATTCGAAGCTGTGATATCATGAACGCGTTAAAAGTTTTTCTTGGCGGAATTTAGACGTTTCGCTTCGTTATATTAACCCGAGTTCTGTCTTGTCAGCGACTGTTTTGCCGTGTAGTCTCGTAATAGTCTACCGACGTTTCAGAGTTGCTTGCTGTCTACATCGAGGTGATCACCCCGCAGCATAAAGATGGCCTCCAACATATTTAGGGTCGACCTGTTGTTCAGGATTACCGTCCTCGTTAGTTGTTACGCCGAAGTCTACGGTGTTCGTCCCTGTTTTCCCAGCGGTGGTCATATCTCTTGCGTAGATTTTTCGTGCTTGAGACCCCGTTAAGTCGTAATAAATAGGGCAGCTGCGATGTATAAGCGCAGGTGTGGAAGATGTTTCAATTTTGTCGCAGTGCGTCCGTAAGTGCCAGTTTCTTTATTTGTGAGTCATCCGTTGCTTGAAGTGGGATAAACGAGGTGTCTAGTCATCGATTTAGTAATCGATTCCTTGGCCATGTACGCCACGTTTCCACTTTTTGACGTATTAAGTACGGACATCTGTCACGTCACATTCGTTGGGTATTAGGGATGTTTCGAGTGGGTGGGAAAGACGAAGGGAATCGGAAAAATCCCGGGGACGTCTGAACCGGTATAGAACAATTTACGAAGACTCGACGTACGGCGTATTGAGGGAGACCGGATATAAATAGTCCGTTGTGTTTTGAAATAGACTGTATTTTTCTGTGCAGGGTTCTTTGGTTCACTGGCATTTTGGTGGTCTAAACCAGTGGTGTTCAACCTTTTTTGTTCGGGTACCCCCCGATATAATTTCTCTTCAACTTTGTACCCCCCAAAGTTGTTGGTGTATAATTCAAGTTATAAATAGTATATAATCTACATCTAAAATAAATTAAATAAATTACTTTACTGATTATTCAGTGTTTATCATAAAATATTTGTTTTTAAATTTCACGTGCCCCCTAAGATGTCTTCGCGTACCCCAGGTTGAATACCGCTGGTCTAAACAGACAGTTTACCAACACATTTTTGAGAATCGCAGACTACGTACAACCTTCAGACCCCGTTGATGTTAACGGATCAGAATGAAACGCGCGTTAAACCCGACACTGATTTTTTGTGTACTCATTTATTTATAATATCATCGATACTGTGTCAGGGACAATTAACGTCACGTTTGTACTTGGTTTTATTATACTGACTGACGTATTTTATTATTATACCCGTCGTCAGGTGGTGCGTGGCCCGTTTTGTTGGACAACTGACTGACGTGCCTCAGGGTAAGTGCGCTGTTGTGCAGAGGGGCGCACATCATACCGTTATCTGTGCGAGCTGTTTTGCCGGTGGTAGCAGACGGATCCCTGTAAGAAGGAAATTGATTGACGCCTGTGTGTGGCAGTGTTCTTAACCACCTCACCCCCCGCCCGTGTGTCGTCGCCATGGTTACCAGAGTATGGCGGGAAAATGCTTCGGTTGCTATGGTCGGAGGGATAGACGCACAGACGGATGCCGCCCTTGGTTCTCTGCTCGTGTCGGCCCCGTAACGTCGGGAGTCTGGTTCACTCTACAGAGACGCGGCGCCGTTGCCATGGATACCGTCTGCCTGTTACGTAGTTCGCGGTTTCGGCTTGCAATTAGTTACTCTTGCAGTCGATTGGCAAGTATGCGCGCTGTTATGGATGGAGCTCATTGTTTGGGCCGATGGTAAATATTTTGTTTCAGTTCTCCGAATGCCGGACAGGAGTGTAAAAGTGACGACTGTCTGGTGTAGCCCGTCCCTCTGTCAAAACTATTTAATGAAACATTTTCGAAGTTCGGGTTATAGGTTGAGACTATTACTTCATTTATTGGAGTGAGTCCCACGAGTTCGAGGCCGCAGGAGAACTCTTTCTTATTTTGGCACAATACAGAGCAAAAAGCTATTCGAAATCACGCGTTAAAAATTTCACTTTTTTTTTACCTAGGACGAGCAGCTTTTCTGTTTGCATTTTTAGTAGTAACGTTAACGGTGATGTTCGACATGACAGTTCGCCCGCTACTCGTTGCTATTTTTTCAGGGACGATTTCGCGAACTCTGGAGTGATATCCCCAAATCTGGAATCGCAGGAAGTTTCCCTGCCATCCTTTACAGTGATGTCGATAAGTCGCAGACAAGTTTCTGGTTTCATAGAGTCATATTTCGGCATTTCTTTTCATCGTGGCCGTGATTGGTCGTGGAACAGGAGATTTAACTCTCAGCTGCCATCTTCTTCATAAGAGGATGGATTCATGACTTCCTTTCCGGCCTTGAACTGTTTCTCAAGGCCGCCATATTGCCACAGTTTTTTTCTTCCCCGCTCGACATTTAGTCGACAACTGCTGTTGGCAGAAGTTGGCTGGCTTCTGTGTTCCCCAGCTGGTCCAGTGTGCTCACTGCCCCAAATCGAGACGTTTTGTCTTGGATGCTCGGTGTAATCCCAGCCTCGGTGTAGGTAGCCTTTGTGCTTGGTTTGTTTAGCCTAGGCCATGATGCACAAAGGCTTGCCGACGGGTTACTGTCGAAGCAATTCGATTACACAACCCGTTTGTTCATATCACATTTCGACGGATAAGGTTGGTGGTGCTGTTACCATGGCGCAGTAGCTACAGTCGGATGATAATGTCTGGCATCGTCCAGTGTTCTCGTACTATCGATTACTTGAGTATCGATTCTGGTTTTTATTCGAATAATGGCAGTCGATTCGGAAGGACACTGAAGAACGACTTCTCGTTGCAACTAATAGCTCACTGCAGATGAAATCTATTTTTGAGTGTGTTTATTCTTAAATTAATTAATTTATTCATTAAATATGCGCCTTCCGTGTTGTCAGTGCTTCAGAAAATGATCTGTATCTATGTGCACATCCCACATTTTGACGACTTGTGTTGGAGGTTGCTACGAAGTGTCCCAACGCCTACAACTGCGCGTTTGGACCCAAATGGAAACGAGGTCTGCGATAAGCGGACTTATCGTCCTTCTAACTATTGCTGTTTTTTCTTGAAACGTCGTCAGTACATCACCAGTGGCCGTAAACGGACTGCTTTATAATTCCGCTGAATATTTTGTTGGATTTTCTGGAAATGTTTGTTATTCATTTTCATTTCATGCATGTTTTTTTTTTTTGTGAAATAAAGGTTTCGATAAATAATTCAAATGTAAATAATTCGACGAAGAGCTGACGCTCCTTTGTCTAGGCCCGCGGCGCCTGTAACTTCTATTGGTTGGACGTAGTCGTACTTTGCTAGCTTGTTTGATGACGCATCGCTTTGTGGCCTGTCGATGTTTCCGTTAATGAAATTAATGGTTACGAGATGATTGTCCTTTTTAGCATTTCAGAATTACTTGGGTTCGGATGAAGTGGTTTATCAGACAAAAATTACCTGAGGCGGTGAACTAACCGCTCATTTCAAGGTGTGTTCGTCTGCTACGCCTTCTCGTCAGGAAGATTATTAACTGAACACGATATTGACAGGTTGCTCAAGCGAAAGCATTGCCAAATACTCGGTAACAACTGAATTTCCTGACGAAAATTATATCAATAGTAATAGGCCAGTTATATTATCGTTACTTCAATGCATTGCCTTCGCGTTTCAATCATTTGTATTCATTGGATCCTTCCGGCCCGCGAGTCTGTGATAAAAGCCGATGGGAAAAGTTTAGAACCGCTGCCGTGCATTGAACTGGGCTATTCTGCTGTCTGAAAAGGAAGTTTTGCGTGTGAGACGTCTGATAGGGGTAGAATTAATGTGTTACAGTGTATACCAGTTCTGGACCAACTGCTTGTGCTGTGGGGATACTAGACGAATGTAAAGAGACGGATTTTTGTGGCCCCGACCTTGAGACCGACACACACGGACGCCTCTCTCGTGTTGCTTGAGACAGAGACAGACGTACAGTCATTGAACCGGCGTGGGGGACAGCGACGTTGCCACGTCTCGTACCCCACCGTTGATTCGGTTTTGTTTGGACGTCTCATCGCCGTCGGAAATCTTTGTGTGTTGGCCTCTGTCGACCACATCAGCACATGGAATTGCCGTGTTGATGTTTGTACAGATGAGATTACGTATATGAAGATGGCTGTCTTCTGGGTTGTAGCGCATTTTTTTAACGTTTCTGCGACCCGTGCTGCCTCCACCGTCAGGGCGCTACAACCCAGGAGTTAGCCATCTTCGTGAATATGGCTGTCTTCTGGGACAGCAGCATGTGTTGTCTGGCAGATGTTTTCCGTTTCAGAGACCCATGCTGCTTTCATATTCAGGACTCATCGCCCTGATGATGGAGGCAGCAAGGGCGTCTGAAGTGGCGCGGGGTCCAGAAGACCGTCGTAGTCTTTCTTATATTGCGGATGGTGAGTGCTGTATACTTTGTAACGTCACTCTAATCTCACTGTTGTACTTTTCATTCGCAGACCACTCCGTGTCTCAGCCGATCACGATGGTGCCGCCTCGTCGGTCTGGCAGCTACCCTGGCAGTGAAGCATCCAACATCCTTTCGCCACGTTCCTCGGAAACTGGCGGTTTGGGTGTCAAGATGGTGGAATACGTCCTTCGGTCCTCGCCCACAGGCAAAGACCTCGAGCCGAGAATGAGAGGCCTTGTACTGGTCAGTATAAAAGTACAGGTAGGACTCGGTTTACGCCGGGGTTAGGTTCCTGAGATTCCCGGCGTAAATTGAAGCAAACATATAATGCGAACATACGTAGGTTCCGTTCCACGATTTTCAGTAATCGACACAAAATACTTGGACGCCATTCATACATGATTTTGACACTCCACGCCTCTGAAATGTTGGGGATGATATCTTTCATGATGTCGTGTGATTTCCAGTAACATTGTCGGACACTTGAATAGCCTCAGAAATTCCCTTGAGTGTTGTCCGTAAGTAATAAGCCTTGAATGTGGATATTGATCCTCGATCCATGGGTTGTAAAAGTGAGGTTAATGTAATTTGCTTTTTCTCGTCGCATTTTATATTCCTGTGGTCTCGGGTTCGATTCCCGGCGGTGCCCGAATTTATAACTTGTGTTGGGCAAGGCCGTGGTCTAGGCAACACGGAGTTTTCCTCCGGGGGCTTCCCCGGTTTCTCCGTGGCATCCCTTAATTATTTAAATTTTAGGCCAAATTAGGATAAATTTAGTATTACAGTCCTGGAAGTCGGGAAGAGTCATGACTCACCCCTCACCCCCAATCGTGATCTATGAGAGGCGCAAAAGTGAAGCGACGTAAATCGAGTCCTACCTGTTTATGATTTCCTAACTTAAAAAGCATGTTACCGTACGTGTCAGGTCCACGAGTCTGAGCCACGGTTGTCTGCGATTTCTTCCTTTTGGTAGTTTATTTTTAATGGCGAGTCTGCCATTCGATCCCGAGTCTGCAGTTTGAGAAAAGCGTCGTTAAATACCTGAAGACATGCTTGGATATCAGATAAACCTCCATCACCAGGGCTGTGGCCGTCCTGATGATGGGGGTTTATTGGATTCTCCGCGTATCTCAGAAATATTTAGGCGGTGTCTGTTCATGAACCCGAGACCCTCGGGAGATGGATTGGCTGTGCGTGATTTTTATCTTTGGTTTATGATGTGGTGTGGCTTAGGTAAAGCCTCTTGTCATGTCGCCGCCATAATAACGGAGACTTCTGTCTTCCTACTCTCCGCCTCGAGAACCTCAAATCCTGCTTAGTGTTAACGACGCACTGTAGTTATTTTAGTGTTCTTTCATTTGTGGTGTATGTAACGACGTTGTGCGTAGGTCAAGAGAGAATATCGCCGGATGACAGGATGATTAAGGCTTTGCCCGGGATGTTCTTTTGTTAAATCTTATGTGGTACCGCCTGATTCGACTTCTAATGGTTAAGTGAAGTGTTTTCTTCGCGGTACGGTCTGGATTCGTAAATATTATGAAGACGAGCTTCGGCTTCAAAGGGTTAACCAGCTGATTTTCGTAATGGTGAGGTGTAGTGTTTTCTTCGCGGTACGCACTGAATTCTTAAATAATATTCAGACGATCTTCGGCTTCAAAGGGTTAAGTAGACAATTAATTGGAAAATTTATGTGAGTAAGCGGCCCTAGCCTAATTTAGGCACTGTCCCTGAGTTTTCCTGCAGGGACGGAGGTAAATCACGAGATTCCTCAATAAGGATAGCCCGTCTCCGCGCAGAGATTTTAACCCGTGATCTACCGATTGCAATTGAGAAGGACGAAAGCAGGTGCGACATGTCGGTTTATGGCAGTCGGTGTTTCGCAGATCTGCGCTTTTTTTCTCGCTGAGCATTACGTGAGCTTTGAAGTGCGTTTTGTTCCGAACTGCCGCCCATAATAGGCCATTATGGGCGTGGGTATGTACCTTATTCATGAGAGCGAAAGATATTCATTGGATATTCGAGAACACCCTTTTGGTAGCTCCGTCTATCCGTCCGACCCCGTACCTGTCAACTCTAGAAATTAATTTTTGCGAAAAAAAATGTTGGTTTGTCGATTTCCTTTACATCTGACAATTACTAGTTTACGTAAAAAACATGAAACACTTCACTGCGCTAATCTCAGTATGCTGCAGGCGACATTTTCTTTGCTGACTGCGGTTACCTGGGGAGAGGAAGAAGCACTGCCCCATAACCCAGGCAGACACCCCGCCCACGCAAAGGTCATGGACCCCTGACGTAACTGGCGCCGCTCTTAAAAGGTCAAGGTTCGGGTTGTTGCGCCATGCGTATTTATTTCACACAAATTGATGACGGGGCCAAAGAAGATTTCTGCTACATCGAAATCTGTTGCGAGGGAGGTTGTTCATATCGGCAAAAATTAGTCGTGACCTGTTTGCAGATTTTTTGTTGTCATTTTATCGTTCATAGACGGGTGAATTGCAGTTACCATGAACAGAGTTCGTAAATGTTGACACATTGAAAAGGTTCATTACATTTAAATTGTGTACATTTTATTTTGAGACTCGTTCTTTTCGTTCCCCATTTGTCGTATGACATTATTTACTCAGTCGATGTTTGCCGGCACTTTTATAGTTAACTGAACACATGAAGTTAGTAATGTGGTTTTAGAATGATGTAATAGCAACCGTTCAGAAATGTTTGTTGTTAGTAAAGTCCAAATTTTGAATCTCAGACCTAGGTTTCATGGTTTTCCTCATTTTCCACAAGCGACCGTGGTCTCGACATATTCGTCGTCCGTTCTGTGGCGTCAGTTACTTGATATGCTTTCCCGTGCGTGTTCAGTGACGAAGCGCCCAGCTCTCCGTGGCATTTACGTCCGGTCCGGTGGACTGTACGCCGTTGGTCCTCCAAGCAAAACCCATAATCTTTATGTGCGTGTTGAGAGGTACCTGCACTCCAGCGATCGCCATCTTCTCGCAGGATGTTCCATTGTCCGCCCAGTACTCGTTTGTATTTACGACTGTGACGAAGATCCTTCCCGATCTGTGCGTAAAGTAGAATTTTCCGCGTTCCGTGCAGTGTTGTTCTTAATATTGTTCCTATAATTAAACATTTTCTTCATTAAGTAACGCAGACTTTTCGTTCCATTCCACATTAACGTCGATCGTTCATTAAGTAACGCAGACTTTTCGCTGCTTTAATGTTCTTACAAATCCTGTTCGTTCCATTCCACATTAACGTCGATGTTAAAGAAAGCAAAAGTGGAATTCATTCTCCCGACCAACGAGGTCCAGAATGCAGAACAAGCCAACCGTCTGCATCCCAGTGCAGGTTCTGAGCATGTCCTTTGAAGTTACCGCCCCGGAGCACGCGAGTTGTCGTCTCACAACCCTTTTTGTTCACTCCGGTGTGCGCACCTGCGCAGAGAGACGCTGTATTATGACTGGGTCTTCGTAAACAGGTGCAGTTAATACAGTTATCTGTTTTGTTGACCCGTGTCTTTGTAATAAAGGCTTTAACACGTGCACCTGTTCGCATGTGTGTCTGGTTTTTCTCAGTCTCTGGAAGGAGATGTGGGATAGCATTGGCTATGGCGGCTGAATATTTTTTAACGCCTTTGTGACAGGTATGTGACTAAATAATGACCCCTGCCTTATAAATGCGTCCTTACCGGCCATAACAATATTCCCTTCGTACTTGACGGTTGTGATGTAAACCCCGTGTGGACGTTTAATTTTTGGAGGAACTTGCTTTCTCCGGAAGTCCATCTTCAGCCATGAAGATGGACTTTGTATGTTTCCCCGAATCGTTTGTATGTGCAGCCTAGAAGTCCAACATCGAATGAGCCGTATATATTTGTATTGGAAGAGTTGAGAACAAGTGTATCATACGCAGTTTAATAAACCCAAGCTTAAACTGAAGATGAATTCGTCCTTTCTCCGTTTCTCGTGAGCGGACAGAAATTTGAGTTTCATTGAAACAACTTTCCAGTTTGATCGAGATATAAAACAATGGTACATAAGTGTTTGACGCGTATTTTGAACGCAGGTTATGTTGAAATTGAGACATTTGGGACGACACATCGATTATACCTCGAGGACAATCGAACTACATAAAATATTGAAGAGTGCCGCGAGTTTGTCAGGTCTGTTGTGTGTAGTAGCTAGACTCGATTGTAATCGAGAGTTGTATAGTCGGCGCAGTAGTTTTTGGTCGGTGGAATTTTCAAGGGGAAGGCTAGGAGCGAGTCACTGACTGCACCTTGGAGCTTATCGGACTGAAAGCCCAAACAAAAGAAATACGCTGACCGTGCCACCTCAGGTACACAGAGTAGGCCCGTCCGCCAGCTCCACTAACTTCGCCGACTATACACTACGCGTTACTTGGTTTCCTATATAGTACTCGTTTGAATTCGCTTTTGAAACACTAAAATACAATTGTGGTCCTTTGATATTTGTATGTAGAGCCACGTGGCTCTTAATATGTGCAAATGCACTTTGTGTTTGTTAAAATTACGCAGAGCTCTAGAACGCGCCATAATCGAAAGCCTTCTCGTATTCATTTGCTATAGTCAGATATCGCAGATTCTGTAATTAGCTACGAACTTTGTGGAGACATCAGACATTCTTTATTCAAGTGTAAAGCACCATTCTTTGTAATTATTTACGCAATTAGAACTCCAGTAGAATATCTCTCGGGATTTTCACAGGAAGCAGTTATCTAATGCTATAAAACCGAGCAGTGGCGTAGTTTTTCTCGCGCGGAGTATCATTTAGAAGGAATTCAGATGTGCTTCATTATCATTACCAAGGCCACACCGCTATTTACAGAGACATGTCTGTGCTAGTCGCGGAGTCAACAAACCCTTCGATGACTGAAGGTAATGTTCTTTGTGTTTCGTTTTACCTGTGCAGAATCCCAGCGACTCGGACGAACCCGATAAGGACAAGGCTCCGTCGCCCTTCGAGGCAAGTAAGAAGGATGTGGAAAATGGAAACGCAACGCAGCCCAACGGCATTGTCCAGAATGGCCTTGTGGATGAGGACAAAGCATTCAAGTGAGTAGCAAGAAATCTTTTTTTAGGATTATTTGTGATGGACTTCGTTTTCATTCTATGTTAACCGGTAAATTTGTATTTGAATTAGGCGTGCCCGGTTTTATTTCCGAGCGAGGTTGGGTGGTGGAGGAAGGCTCCAGAAGGTCGGGTTCCTTCGGCCATGTGGCTGCAAGGTCTGAGGACTTTGCCTGTGTTCGCAGCCAATTCGGTTTATGTTACGTCATCCAACGCGTGTTATCGGGTGATACAGTTGTTGCCGGTTACGGAAAATCAGCATTTTCTTCATGCGTTGGTTTATTCAGAGGAGAGAGAGAGAGAGAGAGAGAAAATGCCGATGTTTCTACCCAACTCGTGGAATCGATTCGTTTTGTACTGGGAAATAAATATTTTATTGAAGTAGTTTTCCGTATTAAGAGAAACTCGCGGTCTGCTTATTAACTGTACCAGAATTTAAATTAGACGTTTGTGGTGTTCGTGGTTTGAAACGTATCATGCATTTTTTTTTATTTACAGTGGTAAATATTTAATGATTTCGGACCCTACCCAGCGATCTATTTGTTAAATTTGTTGCAGTTCAAAAAAGAAAAATATTCAAGAGCTCAGTGTTCCATATGTCGTGGTAATGCCGTACGTGATTGAAGGAAAGTTTGCACATTTCATTATTACGCGATCGAGTTTGTCATTTCTATGTTTCGAAAAGTATTACTGTGCATTCCAATCGCTGAAGCAGGCGATTTTAATCGGAAATATGTGAGCTCGTACAGTATATTCATCGAGGAGATCGCTGGAGTCTCGCGTCTGCCTTATGGTGGGAGAATTATGAACGTTTTGCCTGCTCATCATGAAACCAAATAAATATATGACTCATTTATATGCGGGTCTCTATAGTGCGTGCTTGTAAATAACTTGTTTCTGATGTAAATAGCGACTCGCCTGCCATCTAGGTTCTTTCATGCGATTTATGCGCTGTCACTCAGTATACGAAGTGGTTGTTAGATGGCAGAAGTGTGCAGATGTTTGGCGATATGGCGGTTCGTCGAGCAGAAACAAGTCGAATAAAAGTTTGCTCGCGCAGTAAATGAAGTGTAGTGATATGAACAGTGTCGCCCATTATTAGTATTGCTACTTATGCGGTAGTTATCGGGTTCGAATCCTGTTCTGGGCACCGGCTGATGTGACTGAGGGGTTTCGTGTATTTCCTCACACAGCACATGGTAATGCCAGGTTAGTGCAGCTGCTTCCTTCCAAATCCTTTCGAATTCACTATTCATTCTATTCGGTATTGCGTAGTCTAAGCTACTGACAGCACGCGCGCAAATTCGGTATTGTATAGTCTAAGCTACTGACAGCACGCGCGCACTTACAATGTCAAAATTAGTATTGTATTTCAAAAACAAATAAATTTTTATTTTTATTTTAACAAATTTGTGATTTCGAACTTGTTTCTGTGTAAATGGAGTGTTGCCCAATTTTTACCAGCATTAAAATTTTTTGAAAGTCCTTTGGGGGTCATCTCAGTGTTTTCTGTTTTCTTTCTCTCCATTTCCCCTCCCAGTGGAATGGTGAGAGAGGGAGGGAAATTGGTGGGGGGAGAAGTAAGAGAGACTTCGATTTGGGGGGGGGGAAGAGCATTTTATAGTTAGAAGGTCCCCAGGCAATGCCCGCTCGTCCTTCTGCTAAGGATAAAGTAAGAGTGAAGATGTTTGTGCGATAAGACGCACAGGGCACAGACTTCATTATTTAAATGAATGGCCGGTGGCTCCATTGTACGGTCATGTACATTGCCTGTTTTCTTGTGGTAAGGGTAATGCAAATTTGGTATATTTGACTTTGTGTGTATACGTACCTACATCACACAAATGATGACCCTGTATATTTGATAGGAATTGCCGGCTGACGATAAATGAAGCCATTTCTCTGTCTGATGTGTGATAATTTCTGTCTCTTGGAGTCTGTGGAAATATAACTGGATTGATGTTGATACGACATTTTTAATTTAGGGAAGTTTTAATATTTGGCATGAATCGGCTTCCGTCTTTGCAGTCGAACACCAGGCAGCAGGCAGCCTTCACCGGCAGAAGAAGACATCAACAAGAACAATGGCAGCGGTAGTAACGTGGTGGTCATGGGGGGCGGAGGGAAACTGCCCTCGTCAGAGGGCGTGGAGAACCATCACCATCACCACCACCACCACCCACACATCAACCACCATTCCATTCCGCACCATCCGCAGCATCACCTCCACCACCAGCAGCAAGCCACTCACCACATGCAGAACCATCATCTCGCCTTGGACAGCGTGAATCAGCATTTTGAACATGTGATGGCGATGGATCCAAGCGGAAGTGCCATGGCGCAGTTTGACCAGGCGACGGCCGTCACGGGTTACGCGGGAGGTGCCGGGGGACCCGGAATGCTGCCACCACAACAGCAGCAGCAGGCTGGCACGGGGGTTGGAGGAGGAATGGATTCGCCAAGTATCCTGCCGCCGAACTTCGACGTACAGGTAAGAGAAGTTCCCTAACCAAGTTCATGTTTATAAAGCACATGTAATGGACATAAATGCGTGGCGTATTTCCTCAACTTTTCCGGCACCGGTACCGACAAACAGCTTGTGGTCCACGCGTTACTTGTTAATATTACGGTACAGTTCTTCAGAATCTGTTTTAAAAAATTCCCATGGAGAAGATAGGAAATGAACACCAAATTTTCAAGTCTATTCATGCATTCCAAAAAAAAAATCTCTTTTGTTACCTTGACGCTTCTAGCCGTGTGTGGCACAGAAGCAGCAATAATGGAGGGTCATGCGCCCGGGACACCGCGGATTGGATCGAGAAGTAATCTGGTCCATCCATGTTTTTGAAATGGCTATCGCAGCACCAGGCCTCTATGAATTTCCGCCTGACCATGCCAAATCCTGGTCAGGTTACTGGAATTCTTAGTCCGTCGTGCCACCAGGTGCGAGGAAACGAAACTCGGGGACAGTTTTTTTTAGATTATAGACGATGTTTGAATGGTGTGCATGAGACTCGATAAGAGTCAAATTTGGACAGGGCCTCGATTGCTTGTGTCCGTCTTTTAATATTGTGTTTGCGATAGAAGTTGTTTACCTCCTGAACAGCTGATTTGGTTTAGTTGGTGTTTTATATTGTGTTTTTACATTCAAAAGTGTTTTTATTGGGGGGGGGGGCATATCATGCCGCTGTAGTTAATATGCATTTTTTCAGCCTGTAGGCAATTTAAAATTTTTGATTTTGTAAAATGGTCAGTAAATGTCATGTTGGTAACTGATGGTGAATTACAAACTGAAGCACAGAGAGAAATTTTCTCTGAAGATGCGTTTCGTGTGTTATTTTGTGACGCAGTTCTTACAGCTGCGTGTTTTGTTTGGAAAAAATTTCTGAAATAATGAAATTCAAGCAGAAAAGTTATAAGCTTTTTGATTAAATGTTTTCAAAACTTTAATACGAGTGCTCAATGCCGAATGCCTTCTAAATCTCTTTGTCGTTATGGAACTTGGAAAGATCTGGTACCTGTCAATATCCTGAGCAGATGTAATCCTACGCAAGCCTGCAGACAAAGTTGGTTTTAATATTGGCTTCCCGTCGTGTACGTCTGGATCTCCCGTAATTTTTTCCCCCCCTGTAAGTACATTTCTAAATTCGTCCTTCATTTCACTGGCCTCGTATTTTGTGAAGAGGTTTTGACAACTTCCTCGATACACTTTTTGCAGAAGTGTAATGAAGAACTTCTGAATTGTATTGCTGTGTAGTATGGTAGAAGTTCATCGACGCTTCGGAAGTACTTGCTGCTTCCATCATCAGGGCAGCATTGGAGGCGGCAACCGCAGGTTATGGAGGCAACGTTATTAAACTTTACCAAATTACGCAGCGCCGCAGCCTAGAAGACAACCATCTTCATGATCGCCCGCGTGAGAACCTCAATTTCGCGTGTTAGGAGCGTCCGTCAGATGTTGATATAGTTCACAAAATTACCGTCAGATGTCGCGTTGGCTTGGTGCTGAGTGCGCTCTTGCGGAGGGTTCTGAAACGTGGTTCTGTGTAGGTAATCCCATAGTGCTCAGCGTTTGCTTAATTTGAAGTTTTGTCTTTCTAATTATAGACAAACTAATGCACGTGGCGAGCACAAAATTTATAACTTGCTTCGAAAGTTATTAGTTACAACGTCGGGAAGGTTAAAAATATGTTGTTTTTTCGGCGCTGGCGTGTTGATACGAAGCAAACCAAAGAAAGCGTGTCCCCCCCCCCCTCCGCGTGTATCGCTCATTTATACATCGACATTTCGAATGCGGTATTTTGTCACATTAGTGGAGTACCGCCAGGGAGTTGTTGAAGTCCGCCCACTTTTTCATCCATCACCTGCCTTCCGCCACAGTTTACTTAGGGAATCAGGTTTTGTGATTTAGATTGATGACCTGAGACTGCCAGACTTTGGGCACGCGATGATGGCTTCACCGTCAGTCGGGGACAAAGAAAACGGATTATTGTCGCGTATAGGAAAAGTTATTGAGGCACACCTCCACCGGTCTGTCATCCAGTTCCACGTATAAGGAGAAGAAAATTTGTCTTTCTGTCCTCAATGTTATAAGCACCGTGGCATGGATGCATTTTAGTTTTGTTTAACGACACTGTTTAGTTGTAGAAGTTTAATAGTGTCGAATGAAATGAAAGAAAACAATGTTTTGGGTTTTCGCGTGGAAACTACAAGGGAAGTCGGACAGAACCGCAGTGAGTGCAGTAACTGGTAACAAGGCTGAGATTCGAACTGAGTACTTCCCGAATAAAAGCTCCACGCGTGTGTTTCCAGAAGTTATTATATGTCAGTAAACAGTAAATGTCTGCTAAGTTGCGTCATTACGTCGGTTTTTTTTAAAATAAATAAATTGTAATACACGTGTTCTTCAAAAATACATTTGGTGGTTTATTCGAACGTGGATGAATGTTGTTACTGATACGTGAAGGGGGTTTACGTAAAGGAAGCATTTTTTGTTCATTGTTTGTAATTTGTCCACAATCGTTTAAGGAAGATGAGATTTTTTCATTCCGTGACAAACGGCTTTGTGCATGTAGCCTTCAAAGCGCTCTCTCTCTCTCCCTCTCTCAACCCTCCCCCTCCCTCTCTCCCCCTGCCCCTCTTCGATTTCTGGTTCTCATGGCGACGAGTATAAGCATGACTTCTGGGATGTTTCACCCTGTAATCTTGTAAGATATTTACCGACGTTTCCGAGATGGTGACTGCGATGTGTTTGCGCCCTGATAGTGAAGGCAGTAAGTTCTGAAACGTGTATCAATTTCGACGAGATCTCAAGGCGCAACATTCCAGTCTTGGCAATGTCACTGTTTAAATAGCGTAAACGTTTGAAGATGGCTGTCGTCTGGATTGTTTGCTCGGATTAGTGTGGTAGAATTTCATCGACGTTTCTGAGGTGGTGCTGAAACGTCTGATCTAATTCTGTGAGACCGAGAACCAGAAATTAAAGTAGTTATAGGATTACTTGGTTCGAACCGCGTATTTTTAGGTGGAGGCTTTTTGGTATTTGTGTTGAGGTGAAGGTGTTTTTGAACTGTGCGCCTGATGAGTACCGCCAAGCAGCCCCGATTTGTATCAGACGCAAAACTTTTTGTTCAAGAGGCCTGTAAACAAAGAAAAGTGCTTAATGTGGTGGGTTGCTGGCAGCTTGGCTACCAAAAGCGGCGCATGTCCCATCTCTGTTCCGCTGACTCCCAGCCGTTGAAAGCCTTCAGTTTTAGCGGCGCCACTACGCCGTCATGCTTCAATAATAAATTAGCATTATTTCGAGACTGCAACTAATTAAAAAGCCAAGGCCAAGAAGGGTTTTTTAGTTCCTGTGTGTCTAATGAACCAGTTTTCTGGCACTGACAGGCGCATTTGGGAGTTGAATTTGACCGTCCAAATATATATATATATATTTTTTTTTTTTTTTTTTTTTATTTTCTGTAGAGGTAATTTTGAGGACGGTTGTATTTCCGAGTCGCTCTTTTCGCGCGTCTGGATGAATGCCTGTTAAAAATTTGGGTTAGAAGTGTCGGTGGACAGTTCTAAATCAGTCCTGGTCCATCGTTTCGAAAAGGAAACTGGTCTTCATTGGTGCCTTGTTCCCGTTTTATTATAGCGTTGTTATAATTTTCTGTGAGAGATACGGAAGTTTGCTAGGCTAAATTTTAATCTGAAGATGGATGTCTTCTGGTTTGTAGCGCCGTGTAGCCTGAGGTCATTGCTGCTTCAATCGTCGGAGGAGACTACTCGGCGCTACAACTTTGACTCGGACTCACCGCCATGAAAACGTCAGATCCTACCAAAGACTTAGACCGAGCATCAGTCATAAATAATCGATTTACTGTAACTGTTTCTGTCTTGGTCTTGGAGACGTGGACTGGGGTGTCCTGATGTTCACTCCAGCTTTGTGTTCTTCGCCCCCCCCCCCTTTTTATTAGGAAGTCACGCACCGAGGTTGAAATTGTTTTCGATGAGGGAAGCGAGAATTCATTTAGCCGTCGATATAGTCTCTGTGACAAAATTGCTTGTTTGCCTTGGTCTTAAACACTTTGATTGATTGTTGCCTTCAAACAAAATTGCTGGCGAGTTTACATAAGAGCACGAAATACACCCTGGCTGAGGCACATTACGTTGTGTAGAAAGAAAATTGCTGTCTGTCAGGTTTTATGTCTCAGAACACCCCCCGCGTGGCAGACCTTGGCACAGTCCGTTGTAGAATGACGTTACGTTTATGTATTTGTTAACCAATAGAATCCCCCTGCGAATTCAGGGTCGTATTGATACATTTCAATGGAACGAACCTGAGTTGGGTGCAGACCGGTGCTCAGTTGAGAGACTGAACCACCGGGACCATCAGAGGAACCACCGAGAGGTCGTCCATGTCATCCTGACTCATCGTAGTTCCAGTTAACAAGGTCTTCTGCACTTATCTTCTCTTATGCTTACGTTAGTGCCTCGAAGGACTAGGCGTGTTCGTAGACGAGCTGGTAACGCGGTGTAAGACCTACTTACCCAGTTTCCGTAACGTTCATCAGTGTAAAATTCTCGCTAACTGCACGCCTTGGGACGTTTCTCGAGGTACGAGCTGTACCACGGAATGGCCGTCTTTTGTTGTCCCACGTTGGAGGATTCTTCCTCCTTCAGGGGCGTCTTCTGGATGCTGTTGGAATGACAGCAAAAAGCTTCCAGTTCCACTGATAATTTTACGTATCGTCGTCGCCTTTACATTGCACCTGCTCTGTGTTTTATTTTAACAATTTGTTGTTGTTGTTATTGGTGATGTTACGACCCCCCCGCCCATCTCGAGGGCTTATCAGCGATGCGGCTGATGCTGAATTATAAGTGTTCGAAAAGAATTCAAAGGGAAGTGATGATCTCAGCTGGGATTAACTATACCGCGAGAGAACTCCGATGTATTGTAAAGCTGTTTAGCGATGGACTTGTAACTGAACTCGGACCGGGAAATAA